CTATGTAGGACTGTGGTTTATCAATCATCTGCAACATTCCGAGCTACCGTACCCCTTTGGAAGGGCGTCTTTTAGGGCCTCCAAAACCAGGTTGGTTCGTTAGCTTTTTTCAAACTCGCTAACAATTTATAAATTTTAACAGCGCTGTGAAAATTGTTATTTGAATTTTATCAGATACCATTTGAGTAGCGCATCTTAAAGCCATGTTCTTGAATTTTTTGACCAGCCGTTGGCGCCAAGAAAATTCCTCAAGACCCGAAATAAACCGAATTCGAGGGGGCGTAAAAAATTTTTGGAAGGGAGTCGCCAGCATATTTTCAGCATTAATTTTGTGCTATCAGTTAAATAAAACTATGCAAAGATTACAAAACAATTTCGCGCCGAAAAATTCTTAAGACGAATTTTAAACTTCGATTTTGGAACAGGGTGATTTTCGATTGAGAGCTGAAAGTATCCATAATTTTGAATCAGATTGCTCCGGAATTTGACATGGCGTAAATAATAACATCAAAGCTATAATCGTATCCAGAAGACCTAGGTGGTTTTTTTTATTTTTTAAAAAGTCGCGAAAAATTGACCCGGCTCCTCGGACCAAAAATCGGCTCACTGGCCTTGTTTTGCACTTGGCCCCGTAACTTTGTTATTTACCACCCAAAATCAGTCATTTTTTACAGGCTATCTTACAATCACCTCTAGAAGGTCCTCGAATTGAAAAAATCGTCAATTTATGGAATTTGCAATGGCATGCTAAAACGCGCTCCACGGGGGGTTACTGTAGAAAACCTAAATTCGCGATTTTCGTGGTGTTTTTGCCATGGAATCACTTCGAGCTTTCGGTAAAAGCAATACTAACAGTTTTTGGTACAACTAACCAAAAATTTACGAGATTCTGTGGCAGAATTAAAAAATGAGTTTTTAGACTTTTTCATGAAAGTGTGTGGATAGTACGCTCTCCTATTTGGCAGCAAGGTGCCACTACTTCTTGCCTAACAACCCAGAAAATTTCAGCCGGATCGAAGCTAAGGGAGCCGAGAAAAGCGGAGAAAAACGAAACTTACAGCACCCCGCTGGGGCACGTTTTAGCAAGCAATACAAAAATACCATAGATTGCGGTGGAATCTGGTGTGGGATCCGAAATTAATATTTGGATAAGCCATTGGCAAAAAAAGCAGCCATGGGCAGTGAGTTAGAAGCGAGTTATGACTCAAAGAACAAAAATAATGAAAAATCGCGAAAATTCTTTTGTTTTTAGAAAATCGAATAGGCCTCGAAAATTCTAAGATTTTGCCATTACATTTCTACAAATTTATACTATTTTTAGGCCAAAAATCAGAATTTTCCCACCACCCGTTCAAGAACGCACAATTTTCGGTCGTAACCAGCGTCAATAGTACAGTTGCGTACCCAAAAATCGAAGAAAAATCAAGTTTTATTAAATCTTTCATACCCAGCATATTTAAGCGATACTGGCATGGTAACGTACCTTCGATTCTCTACCGTTCAAGAGTTATTTCTGACCTAAACTGGGATCTTTTTTTTCGTCCACCCTGTAGATGATGAAAATCCGGACGAATAGCCCGATCGCCTCAGGCCGTTCTTGGCTTTATTGCAAAAATATTGTTTTTTTCCGCGAGTCTCAGCAGTTTTTCGGCTTTCGGCTTCTTTTTCGACTTTCGGCCTGAATCCCCAATTTCGCTTAATATCGATGGAAATTTTGCCTGCAAAATCGTTGCTGAAATCAGCGGTTATTGGACTAATTTTTGTCAAAGAAATTTCTGGGCGGGGCTTAAGCCGCTTCATTTTCACTTAATATTTTAAGGGTCGATACCGACGGAAACCTCAAGGAAAAATGGATAACAAGATTTTTTTTGTTACAGGTCTCGAAAAATACTGTAGCTGGCGGGTTATAAGTCAACATTGTGGTTATTGAGGGTCAGATACACCTCTGGCTGAGTTTTGGGACTGATCGAGTGTAATACGGCAGAATGCCATGGATCCGAAGGTTTGATTTGTAGGGTGCCATCAACCGGTCGACCAGTTGATACCTGGCGAACCGCTTGTAGATAGTCCCTCTTGTCGAATCGGTAGGAGTGGGGCTATGGGTGGGGGTGGCTTTGTGGATTTCGACGGTATTTGAGGGCGAAGAATACTCGCGAGGCTCGCCGTCGTTTAATCGCCCAGGTGTGGGGGGAGACCGTACCTGTAGACAGGAAGGATTAGGACGGGGTAAGGGGATCTCCACCGACCCTCCAGCTACCACATCCCCAAACTATCTCTAGACCTTTCCCACAGCTACTCGATGGAAACTAGAGCTACGTGCCATTCGGGTTTTTACTACTAACATCATTCTCCGGGCCGATTCTCTGTTTTTTTCGGTGGTGAGCCTTTTTAGGTTCGAGCGCTTACTCCCTGCCGGCGCCCAACTTTTGTATCTCGGGACCTAGTTTGTCTCAGAGAGTGTAAAGTATACCACAATGTGCGTCTTGCTCTGACGGGTATTTTGGTATACTTTACCGCCCTGTGTAATAACGTAGAGTTTAGTTACGGTAGGGCGGAGTCGGTTGGGGGGGGGAGGAGAGGAGCAACTGTCTTGTCGTCGATTGACATGCTCAGGAATTTCGAAATTATTTCTTCAAACTTATAGGCGGATGGAAATCACCTGTTCGTGCCCCAGTCCCAGTGTCCACAGGTCCAAAAATGTGAAGCCCATCCTCCATGCCCAGCTCTATTTCTGCCTCCGCCGCCACCGCCGCCAGTGCCGAGTAAGCGCAAATTATTGTAAGCCGAGCTCGCTGAACATTTGTGACAACTAGAAGAGTGGATTTGCAATCATCTTAAAGAAAAACCTACCTACTTAAAAACCCCGAATTTTTAGCTATCTTATAGGCTGCCAGTCCACTTGCTTCCCGGCATACCAAATCTCCAACTCGGTACCAGTTCCCGGCCCGCCAGAGCCTTACAGCTTCTTTGAGGTGACTTCATGTCTGGGCTGTAACATTTTCTAGGCTCCACCACTGGGCAAGCCGGCGGTTACCCTGAGTCCCTTCGCCGGCGGCTCCCGGACCGGAAGTCCCTGGAGCTGACGCTGGCCCACCAATGGTCGCGCTTCCGACCCCTGAGTATGCTCAGGAGAGTGATAGGAAGCCAGCTTGGTAAGCCACAAAAATAGGTATTCTAGTCAAAATCACGCCCATGTTTAAGCTTAGGTTAGGTTAAGGCTAGGCTCAGGCAGTAGGCTTATAATTAGGCTTGTCAGAGATAGGCATAGGCTTAGGCATAGGCTTTCAGGCTTAGGCTTAGGCCTAGGCATAGGCTTAGGCATAGGCTTAGGCTTAGGGCTTAGGCTTGAGGCTTAGGCTTAGGCGGTTGGCCCTAGGCTTAGCTTATTCTTGGGCTTGGGCTTAGGCTAGGCTTCGGTCGAGGCTAAGGCGCCAAGCTGCTCTCTTGTGGGTGACCATTGAGCCCCAGGGATAGATTACCTTCTTAGGGCAGCCTTGTTTTCGGATATGGCGTACAACTATTTCCACGCCACCTAAAAGTTCAGGGGCCCTTCCTTCTCCCTTGTCTCCCCACCATCACTGATTTCTCTCAACGAGGCTGGACGAGCTGTCGAGACGAATGAGGTCGCACCAGGTATCCAGTCTCGAAAGACATTTCTTTTTTGCTTACAGAATCGACCTTCCAAAGCGCATACGTAGGGTGAGACAGCGCCTACGTTGATACCACCAACGACCCAGGAAAGTTTGGGCTTATACAGTTCTGCCACCGACTACACTGAAATCATGGACTCTGGGACTGCCAGGCCACGACCCGTTTGTAAGCTGGTGCAGGGCCGTTTGCCTCCAGGGTCCCGGACATGGCTACCAGTTCGTTTAGCGACCATTACTCCCGATGAAGAGGATGATCGAATCTACGCCAAGGATGGCGAAGTGAAGTAAGCCATTGTTGCAGTTTGTACATGACATCCGTCAGGTCACCACAATCACCGGGGGTGCCTCACGATATCGTATCTGAGCCCGTACTTCCGAGGCTCGCACTCGCCGAGGAGCGTGAGCGCTGATGAATCCGAATCCTCGACGACATGTGGGCCTCAGAGACGGTAAAAGTGTCGCTAAGATCGTCCGCCAAAAGTAGTTCAGCGTGTTAATGAGGGCTACCCGACACTGTTTCGAATGGCCGAATTTTGACCAAAATATCGGTTTTTTCAAAGCTTTTAGATAGTTTTTCTAGTTAAAATATAGTTATCTATAACTGAAAAACTGTTAAAACACGTTCTATATTAGACATTTCTAGACCTACACAAAAAGCCCCCCGGATAATGCGCAAGAACCGAATCCTTAAACAAACTACTGATACCATTGATTACTTAATATCGTACCGTACTTGTGACCAATTGGAATCATAAATTCATGAACACTCAAATTCGAGCTATTCTGTTAAAAACTACGAGCCACTGCCCCACCATCAGTACCGTGTGACATCATTATTCAGTCGGCGCGCCAGCATGCGTCTAGCACCGTCCAGCGCACGACAACGACATGCAATTCGGACAAACTGGCCCGTGTGATGGCTGAGGTGGGAGAGAATGGGATGCTATGAAAAAGCGTGTTGTCCATTTTCCAGGCCATCACTCCAGATGTGTCCGTGGCAAAGAAGGCGGTCCAGCGGGCCACTGAACTCGCCTTCAAAGTGGAAGCAAATTTGACGTGTTCTGGTGCAAATGGCGAATTTAGTTACAGCATCCACTCTAGGTATGGGTTTTTAGCATCGGCAAGGTGTTGATTTTGTTTGCAGAAAATACTGTGAGGCGACGAGAGGTGAGGTGGACCTGCTTCGCGTTCCGTTAAGACCGCCGAGAAGGGAAATATTTATTGCTCAAAAAGAGAAAATTATTTATATTGTTCACCGCCACTGCAACCGATAAATTTCTTACTCGAATCATCATTTATAAGAATCATCATTTCCGGCTGATTTAAATAATTGCGTTTAATCGGGCTTTAACGTGGTTCAGGGCTCAGAAGCGATGCGAGGGATGCCAGTCGATGCCACTGTCGAGTTCCGGCTGAAAATTAAAATCGGAAATTGCGTTACACTAAATTAAGTTCAGGTTCTTTCGCGTTATCGGGGGAGTTTTTCGGGAGAAACCGATCTTTACTAGAAAAACGAGAAATGCCTATTAACTTAATAGAAAATGTTTTAATCGTGTCTTTATTAATATGTAACTATAATCCGAAAATCAGAAAAATTATCCGAAAACTTTTGAAAAAGTAAAATTTTGGCCAAAAATCTATATTTTTGATATTTTGAAGACAAAATTTGAAAGTTTTCGCGTTTAGGAGTAAAACCCATTTATAGAGACCTCTACGATCTATATTTGAACAAGTAGACCCTAAGAAGAACAGTTGGTACCCCTGATAATGCGAAAGATTCGAAAAAATGCATTAAGGGTCATAAATTTTCAAGGTTGAGGCAAAGCAAGCTTTTGGCGAAGCCATGAACCTGGCTAGAGCCACCAAGGTAGGTGAGTGGCGAAACCAGCTCATCATACTCGAAGAATGGCTGAAAGGGGGTCGTGTTGGCGTCGTCGTCGCACTTATGGTAGACGATATCCGTCATTACCAACCATCTTTCCCGGTTTCTCCACGCGGGAACGACATGGCCGCCGACGGAGGACTGGCGGCTGTCGCCTCCTTCAGGAACGCTTCGTAGGGTTGCCTATAAAATGAAGTATTTTGACCCGCGACGCCGCAGAACCGACTTGTAGGAACAGATCAGCCCGCGCCCGTGGTGCTGCATCGCGTAGAAGCCCACCGGGTCAGTCACGAAGATGACTAAACTTGGGTAAGAAGACAGGAAGCCTCAAAATGAACGGCGGGGGATAGGAATCTATCCTATTAATGCGCCAAGTAGCGAAAAATATTGAATCTTTTTTTGAGAAAACAAACATAAAGCGATTTTAGAAGCAAGATGTGGTTCTGAACTGTTAACGCGGGGAGACCAATTTTCTATAACTCTCTAGGAATAAAAACTACTAAAACAATATGAAACAAGTTCTTTAGGATTCGCGGGGGAAAGTATTCCGGGGGAAACCAAATTTTTTTCGGCACAAGCCTAGATTTTTTATAAACTACGGATGCGTTTCTAAATCGTTTTTAACTATTCCTGAGCATAAAAACTACACACATTTTAACCAAAAAAAATAATAAAAATAAAAATTAGGAACAATCCTATAGAACCTTTAGGATTCGCGGGGGAAAGACACAAAATGACCAAATTTTCGACTTTTTCAAACATTTTTCTAAATTTTTCTGAAAGTTATTCTGCTTTAATTACAGTTAAAACTTACTAAAAACAATTGGAAAACACTTTATATTTGATTACTAGGTCACCCGGGACCACCAGGAAAAATTGGTTTTCCCCCGGGAATACTCCCCCCGGGAATCCTAAAGAACCGAAACAACATACGGTTAGAGTGCAGCTTACCCCATTCCTTCTCCCCGCCGGCACTCCATCTTTTGTATCTGGAGTTCCCTGTTCATCTATAGGTGTAACGTATACGAAAATGTTCGTCTTGCTCTGGCGAGTACCTTGGTATACTTACACACCTGTAGATGAATAGGGAGCCGAGATACGGTAGGTGGGTACCGGCTGGGGGGGGGGCGTAAGGTGCGCTTAGGCTATATATGGGTCGAAGCCCGGGGCGCCGCCAGAGGCGCCTCCCGAGGCACCTCCTGGGGCGTTCCGAGTGGCGCCTGTGGCGGCGCCTGGGGCTGACCAAACGGCGCCGGTAAACCGAGATGCAAAGCAAAAAGGCGGTGTTATTATGGAAATGAAATTTGACTGCTGACCCTTAGTATCAAAGAAGGCAAAACTATTAGTTGATTGGCCTATAATTTTTCCATGATCCTTTCTGCATTGTAGAGGAAGGGGGTATTTATGGGGGACCAACTTTTTCTAAGGACCTTGTATTCTAAAAAGAAATAGTGGAAGCTTTGGAAACTGTTGTTATTATGCTTAAACGTAAAAACTTTACCAACTGCGACTGAAACACAAAAAATATAGATTTTTCTGCCAAAATGGCCGATTTTCCAATCTCACTTTCAATTTCGAAATTTCCACCTAAAATTCCTTCCAATTTTTGATTTTTCCACTTAAAAGTTAGTTAAATTTTTACTAAAAACATTATTAAAAGGCTGACTATTACGTTGCTAGGTTTTTCTGAGGTGCAAGAGAAAAAGTTATTTGCAGGTTACTCTTGCGCTTGAAATGAATAATTAACATTAGAATCGAAGATTTGCATAATCTCACAGGCGCCTTTGGTGACGCCCCCCGCCCCGTTAAAAATCATAGGGGCGGCGCCCCCAGGCGCCACTCGGCACGCCCCCCAGGGGGTGCCTCGGGAGGCGCCTTTGGCGGCGCCCCCGGGCTTCGACCCATATATAGCTTAGGCCATAAATAATATATCATCAACAGGTAGGTGGAAAAAAAAGAAAGTGGTTTCATCCCTGTTAAAAATCCCCCGCCGCTAGCAGTCCAGAACCGCAGGTGTTTCGAAGCGCTACCGGTGCCTGAATGATGGGCAGCAATGCGGCGCATCAGGCCCCGCTTCTCGGCGGCGACTTGAGCGGGGGCCAGACCCCCGGTCTGGTGGTTCCACTCGAGACGACCGCCCATCGGCCTAACATTTCATTGGAGTTTTGAGCAAGATGCTCACTTGTATTCCTCGTCGATATTGTACCCAAGAGCCTGCAGCGCAGCGGTCGGCATCCAGTAGTGCTAAACTGTCACAGTACCTTTGAATGATTTGAAAACGTCGGCCTGTTTGGTCATTTTCCATACATTTTTGTGCAAAAAGTCAATTTTTATTCTTTTCTTATATAGTGTTTATATCTAAAAACTATGTAAAATGCTACAAAAATGGGTTATATTTTGTTATAGGGCTGGGGGGAGGGGCAGGGAGCCGAGATACGGTAGGTGGGGGTCGGCTGGGGGGAGTAAATTTTTTGTATCTGCACCTACTTCGGAACCATAAGCAGACGAGAGCATCGGTTCGATGCGAAGCGGCCTCGCCTGGCTGTGATTGTGCGTGGACCGAACACTACGACCCCTACCTGAGCAGCCCCTGCAAGACTTTGGCCGTCTGCAGGCACACCAGAGCCGGTGACGTGTAGATGGTTTGAGGCTGGACCCGAAAAAAGTACAGTGATGCCAAATGGGAACCTTGTAGCGGCGGGCCACCAGCTGGCGCCCGAGCAGCTGCGCCGAAATGAGCCCAAACTGAGAGAAGCGAGGATAAGTGCTCGACTTGGTAATTGAACCTCGCTAGCCGGCGGATCGTTCTCGTAGGCGAGACGCATTTCGGGTCTACGCGGCAACTCGTAAGGCACGTTCTAAATTCTTTGGTAAATTTTGGGTTCTTTCGCATTATCGGGGGAGTGACGACCTTATTGTATGGGTCTAAAAACGCCTAGTAACTCAGTATACAGTCTTTTAATAGTTTTTTTTGCAATATTTAACTATATTTCAACTAGAAAAACTAGCACAAAACTTTAAAAAAGCGAAAATTTGGTCAAAATCGGCCGTTTCTGGTGGAAACTCGATCTTTTGATGTTTTTTCATACAAATTTGTAAAGTTTTCACATTTGGGAATAGTAAAAAACCCATTAGAAACAATTCACAACACAACACACAACAACGACAAAATAAAATCTTCGGCCAAAAATCGGGAATATCCTCCATATAATGCGAAAGAGCCAATTTTTGTTACAGGTAAAAGAGCTGATGAAACTTTCTATTAGCCGGCCCTTCAAACGGTACCAAGTCGGTGGGCCGGTAGAAGCGCTCGTCGATCTTGGTACGGCGCACCCAGTCGGGGAACACCTCAGCGATCGACTCAGCGTGGCGCACAAGAAGTACGTCGTGGCCTGAAGCCAGTGTTACAGTTGTCTAACCTGCCCCCCGACCTTCTGATTTGTGGGGGTCAAGCCCGATGGTCTGAAAAGCGCCGGGCAGCTTGTCTTTGGCCGTCAAAACGAGGAGCAGCTCGTGACGGGCATTGCCATAATCTGAATGATAGCTTAAGAAGATCGGGCCTTCACGCTTCTTCGCGGTGGGGGACTTTTTCGGCAGTGGTTCAGTTTACCCCCTCTCTCCTCCCTAAGCCGACCCCACCTGCCGTATCTCGGCTCCCTGTTCACCTACTAGTATGTAAAGTATACCAAAAAACTCGCCAGAGCAAGGCGAACATTTTGGTATACTTTACACACCTGTAGATGGACAGGTAGCCGATATACAAAAGTTGGGTGCCGGCTGGGGGAGGGGGGGTAAAACTCTACAAATCCTTACCCAACCTTGCAGAAGTGGATTACGACGAAATGATTTGCATTGTAAGTTTGCGGGGTCGCCGATATGCAATGCAAAACAAGTTTTATTCAAAAGCTTCTGATTAATAGTCCACAGCATTCGATTTTCAAATGTCACGCCTCACGCTGGTTCTTTCTTTCCCTTCGTTGACGTATGTATAGCTCCAGATCCTAAATGGTTACATCTTCTACAGCGTGCCAGAAAAAATCACCGCCTCTAGCGGCCCCCCAATCCGGTCCGATTTTTACGATTCAGGTATCTATCGAAAGCTCTCGGAAAGGTGATTCCAGCGCAAAAATACAACTTACTTAGTTAGACAGCGCTTAAACCGGCTAAATTGAGCTCTCGATAAAAAAGCGCGTTCTTATTGCGTGAAAAATGCTGAAAATCGAGAAAAAGCCGAAATTTCGAAAATCGGAGTCACGTGCTGCACTCGTCTTTTCGAGAGCCTTCGATAGATCGTAATAATCGGAGAAGTCTGCGGCCGGCGACAGGCGGTGATTTTTGAACATGCTGAATGCTGCAACAAACCCGATTTTTCTGCTCGATATATTTATCGATAGCTTTCTCGGCGAACAAGGCGTCACTCGAGTTATCAGCCTCCTGCTCGAGGTTGAGCTCCTATAAAGGTGATGTAAAATCGACATTCAGCCGCGTTAGGGCCCCGGCAAACAAAAGCTCAAGTAAAAAAACAAACTTTTGCTTGTAAATTTCGTCAAAGGCGTCGCGCCACATCGATAAAAGGTTCGAGGTGCGTAGGTTGGCAAGCGCGTTCTTTAGCTGAGGTGGCGGGCCGATTTCCTAGGACATTTACAGCTACTGAAAAATTTATACCTCGAACGAATCCTCGCCGTGCGCCACAAATATGGGCTTGCTGTGATCGGTGATCATACCCTTAAGTCAGTGGCGATAATGCGCAGAATTTGGGTCGGCTTAGGCTTAGACTTAGGCTTCTTAGACTAAAGCTTAGGCTTCTATGCGATAGGGCTTCACCTTTTCGCAAGCCCTAAGCCTAAGCCTAAGCCCAAGCCTAAGCCTAGGGCCTAAGCCGAAGCCTAATCCGAAGCCAAAGCAGAAGCCCAGGGATGTAGAGGGGATTCACCTTATTATTTGCGGTTCCGAAGGCCAGATGATCCGTCAGTGCTCGCCCACGTACCGTCAAATTTTCCATTTTGGAAGAATAGAACTAAAATCGATAAATGGGCGGCACCACAACATTTGAAAATCGGAGAAGCTTTTTCGTGCCCTAGATTTGCTCCAGCAGCTGTATCTCGATTCCCAATTGACCAACAAAATTGTAAAGTAGGCGAAAATGTTCGTTTTGGCTGGCAAATCCTTTGGTATACTTTACACCGATGAAGCAATGGGAGCCCGAGCTACAATAGATGGAGCCGGGGAGGGGGGGTGCTCAAACACTAGGTTTGATATAACGGGAATAGGGAAACCCGATTAGTTCTTACCAGCAGATCGGCGCAATAATAATGGGCAAGAAATCGCAACACTTTGACGATCTGCCGCCGATCTTCCGACTCGAAATTCTAAAGAGCAGAGGAATAAATAGTTTGCCGGAAATTCACCTGAAACTCATCATATTTGGCCCCTATGAAGGCGAGCGGAATCGGAAGGCGCTGATCATATCCTTGTCCTTAAAGGAAGGTCCAGGATTATAAAATCGCCGATTACTCGTTTACCTTAGATGCTGCAAGCCGTGCGGCAGCAGCGGCCAAGATACGGCTGTGGGCAGCAGGGTCATCGCGCTGCAGGTCATTGAGCACATCACCTACACGTTTACGCGCTCCTTCGAGCAGTCTCTCTGCCGTCACCCACAACTCGTTAGGTCTCGTTAGGTCCAATACAACCATCAGGGACGTGCTCCTAAACCGTTGAAGTTGCTGGTACTCAACCTCACTCTAAGTTCTTGCTGGTTAATGCCACGGAGAGTAGCGCACGTAGTCTTGTCCCGCCGCTCAACTCCCAGAGATGGCAGACTTCCTTCGCCTAAAAGCGACTCGACGTTGACAGCGAACGAACATTTCGACGTGTCCGTCGGCCATACGTGTACTCGAGTCCAATTGATGGTTTTGGGGTTTCGTTCCGCTCCAAAAAGCGAAGTAAAAGAGAGGTCTTTCCCTGAATGTCATGTCTCTTTCAAGTGCACCGTTTACGTACGCAGTTCTGACTTCCGCAAACGACGACCACAGACTCGCTTCGGTGGGGTTTGGCTTGGGCTGAAAGTCCGACAGATTTGGAAGGTGGCCCTTGTGAACCTCGACTCACCTCCAGGGTCGTCATCATCGTCGCCCAGCTGAAGATGCCTTGCCTGATTTTCTAGATATTTCTGACGCGCCAGTTGCCAAATATCAACAGATGCCATTCTTCGAGTAAAATGCTTGGAAGCGTTGCAACGGGCACACCAAAACGCCCCCCGGTTACCATGGTTACGAGGCGCATAAATAGGGCATAGCCGCCCCGTGGCCACGAGCACTGTTGAGGGTGGCAATATGATGTACTAAAGATCAATGTCAATCTTAAAAAATGTTTGGCTGATTAGAATAATAAACTCAGGCAGATAAAACATTCCCTAGTGAGGGTTGATGTTGCATAATGGCCTCGAGATGGCTGCCGATTTAACAGTTTTTCAAAACTGCGTTTTTCGCAAAAAAGTTAAATTTTTCGATAAAAAATCGCGACGCTTTTGGTTGAAAAAATTAGTGACAAATGCAAGGGAGTTTTAAGGGATTTAATAAATTATATTAAGGAGTACAGGGTGTCCCAAAAAAATCCACCCCCTCTGGCGGGTCATAGTCATGTCCGATTGTGACGATTGAGTTATCTATCGAAAGCTCTCGGAAAGGCGAGAAAACAAGCACTTTTCGTTTTCAATACAAGCATTTTATTCATTAAATTAGGGGCCAAAATCCATGAAAACTGAAAATTCGGGGTGTTATGCTTGCTAAAGCAAACAGGACGACGCTGATTTTACTCCTTTTAAGAAATCGTCTCATATCGAGCGCGTGCTACAATTTTGTAAAACGAAAAGCGCTTGTTTTCTCGCCTATCCGAGAGCTTTGGAATGGTGTAAAAATCAGCCCGACCCGACCTTTCTCTAGACCGCTAGAGAAGGGTCGATTTTTTTGGGACACCTCGTAGCCGGGTACTTTGCTTTGTCTAGGGGAATTCCAGCCATAGTCCCGACATTTGGCCGGCAGGATTTTGGCGTTTTTCCCTTCATGGGAAGTAAGTTCGCGAAGCAACGTGTCCAAATCCATCGATCCTAGGGGGTCAGCATTTAGCCGACTCGAAACGGTTTTTTCATCCTTGGTGTGCAGGTAAATTTGCTTGACATCTCCGATATCAGCTTGATCAATGGGCACCCCGACGCGGTTGTTTGCGCGCTGTTCTTTGGTGGTTTTGGTGGTGGCGGGAAAGGTGGGCTGGATGTGGATGAGAATGTATACAACAGTCTTCTCCTTGCCCCATCCCCCCCTTTGCACAGTCTCTTAGAACGGGCCGCGCATGAGCCGGTGGCTGTTTGACTTGGCGCGTCACGCGCATCGCTTCTGCAAGGTGGGGGGGGGGCTAGGAGTCTCGCCCCCCGACGACCCCCAGGCTCTTCCCTCCCCGATTTCCAAGCCTATTCACCTCCCGAAAATGGCGAGGCGTCAAACTGTTGTGTTCACGGTTTACGACCGGACCCCATGCTGGGACTATGCGCCCGCATTCGCTTTTTTTGGCTTCCTGGCTCTTCTGTGCTTCCTAGAGACAGACCGTTCCACCTAAACGAGTTTCAGTAATCTCACGCTTCACGGATACTCCATCGATGCATACAAATGTCGGTGCTGGACTGTTAGCGGGGGTGGGGGTTTGAGCAAGGGGAAGAACCCAATTTTTTGTTTTTCCAGCTATGTACCATATACTATGTATTTTCATACATTTTCGAAAAAAAGTGAAACATTTTCGAAACTTTTATTAGTGTTTTTGTAGCTGAAAACTACGTAAAATGAAAATGCTATAAAAATCGTCTATATTTTGTTATGGGGTCGTAGACAATCACCGGGAAAAATATCAGGTTCTGAGCAGGGAGTTGCTAGGGGTCAGGAGTATCTTCCTCCCTTCAACCTAATGTCTATTTTAAGGAAACATAAATTATTTTAAAACTAGCGGAAAATTAGGATATTGCCATTTTCGTGTCTTTTAAGCCAAAAGTCAATTTAGAAAATTTTATCCATTTTTTTAGTTTTTGTTAGTGAAGAAAGCCGTAGAATACTCGTGCCAGGCTTTCTATTTCATTACGTGGCATCATTGCAGATATCCGGAAAAAATGTGGTTTTCCCTGCCAACCCCCCTCCCGCTAGAGAACTTGAATCCGGCGTCAATTCCCGGATTATTTTCCGACTAATCTTTTGCCGGACGTTGCATGACTCAGGTGGACCCCAAATATTTCTCGCTCCGCATTTTTATGGGCACTCCCAAAAGCTTATCTTGTCTCGAAGCGGCCCGAGCGATAATTCGCGCTCTCATGCCAACCCAGCCCATTGCCAATTCCTGGCAGCCATCGACTTTTTCCGCGCTTGGCACAAGAAATTAGCATATGGCCGGTTGCTGGAGACACTGGTAATCTAGCTGAATTTCCGGCCTAGGATCATTTAAATTTGAACCTGCGGGTATACATGGTGTCCCAATAAAAAAACACCCCCGCTCACACGGCGCAGGAGTATCGGGGCGGAATGGTAGTTACACCATTCGAAAGCCCTTGAAACGGCGAGTTTGCAACAATCTTCAAAAAGCATGTTTTTATTTAATTGCGCTATTTTACAAACGATTTTGTAAAATTTTGTGGTTTCGGGTTGCAGGCGAGCTAATTTGTCTCAATTTCTCCAAGCAAAACGGTCGCAGGTAGCCGTTGATTAGATGTAGAGGTCGTTCCTTAGTGTTTTTAAATGCATTAGAAAATGACGCGTTATTGCAAATTCGCCGGTTCAAGGGCTTCGAATGGTGTAATTGACGTTACAATCCTATACTTCTGCATCAAGTTAGAGGAGAGTCTTTTTTATTGGGACACCCTGTATGAATGTAAGAATGCAATCCACCCTCTCCCATCCCCCCAATTTTGTACTCTCAGTTGCGGTTTGTGTTTTTTTATAATTGCATTTATCTTACTCCAAAAGGTCGCGGGTTCGTTCAGGTTGATATGACGGCCGTGAAGGCAACGGACGATCGTTTCACGGATACGCTATGTCGAAATACGAGCGTTCAGAGCGCAATCAGCCGCTTCGAGCCAACGAGAAAACCTCCCGAGCCCATGCCCCGCCTCGGCCAAGCCCAGCTTCAACTACACCGACGACTCAGCCACAGTAAATAACTACGACAGGATACTTCAAACAGAAAAACCTAGGCAATCTGCTTGCGGATGGGATTGTGGCGGAAGCGAGGGCATCTACCTCTGTCGATTATGCCTACCATGAACCTATCAAGGCGGAGCGCCGGAAGCCGATCGACATGAAGCGTTCAAACTCGGAAGTACGAAACAAGGCTGATATTTCCAGACACACGGATCCTTCAAAATCCATTGTTACTTTGCTGCCTGCAGAGTTTTCGGCATTGGAGCCGCGACAAGATGTAAGTGAATTCCGTTTTCAGAATATGAATAAAAGCTGTGGCTAAATTAAAAATAGGTCGTTTTCACTGAAGGGCGTTAAGAAGCTTAAAGTAAATTTAAGAAGATCTGCTTTTTCGAACATAAAAGAAGAAATTCGATTATTCAAGGTGGACGGTTCTGGACTGCTAGCGGGGGGAACCAAATTTTTCCCCGTGATTCTCTACGGCCCTATAACAATATATAAGACATTTATTATAGCATTTTACATAGTTTTTGGATATAAAAACGATCTAGAAAGATAACAAAGATCTTGGAAAATTGTTGACTTTTTGTTCAAGAATGTATGAAAATGACCAAAAAGGGTCAAAATTTTAAAAATATTTTATAACTTTCTAGAGCAATTAAAAGCTACCGAAACAATATAAAAATACAGAATATCAAATCAACGGGTAGGTACAGGTGGACAAACTGAAAGTGGTTCCCCTGCTCCACCCCCACCCCCACCGCGCTAACAGTCCAGAACCAGGTTTACTTGATACCCAGGGAAATAGGTTGAAAGGGTCTGCCCCTAC